ACTTGAAGTAAATTGTAATAGGGCTGGCAGCATACGATTTGATGGTGGAATATATCATCAAATAAACGTCATTTGCCCGAACACAATCAGCTATCGATATGGCGGGAATAATAAGTGTTTTGCCAATTTGTTTGATGTCTGCATCGATAAGCGCCCCACTCTTTACCCGTTTTAAAATATGCATGTCAATTTTGATATAAATCCGGAAGCAGATATATAATTAAATCCTATTACAAGCTGAAGTGAATAATTAAACAACAAAAGTCATTAGCGCCTAACCAATCTATCAAAGCTGACAAAGTGCGATCAATAACCATAATAACACTAAATTTATCGACATAACATTGTAATTTGTGTAGTCACGAGGTAATTCTCCCATCACCAATCAATGGAAACATAGAAATTAAACAGTGGGCGATGACGCGAGGAATTCTTGGAAGGCGGGTGAGCTTCGAGCAATAAGCAATAAGCTTTTATATCATCAATGAATACATTATTCATTACCTTGTCAAGGAAAAATAAGGTACGATAGTGCTGACAGTGATGTTTTACAAATACTTAATGATGACATAACGCTGCGTGTTGCTAGGAGCGAACACTCACATATTACTTTGCGGGCAGTAGTTCAGTCACGTATTTTTTGTAAGTCCTAGGAATACATTCACTTGGTTGGCATAGCATGACGTAGAAGACAACAGTGAGTAGATACGATAATGTAGTTTAAATTTTTTGCAAAATTTTGCACACAAACCAAACAATATAATGCAAAAACCGTTAGTGCTACCCCTATGTGACAGCTACGAAGGGAAACAATGCATTTGATACTTATCTACGGCCCTCCCCACGCATGCCGCACCTAGCCAGCGTCCGGATAACCGCGGCTTGACAATATTGTGCTGGTGGAATATCTCAGATACAACGCCATATATCGATTGGAAAGCTGTTTTACTTTTTTTTTTTACAAGGGTGACTTTGCATTTCCGTTCTGTTTTGGATTATTGGTTTTTGCCATAGATTATGTTTGCAGAACTGGTCAAATACTGATAGGTTATCTCGGAAAGTTGAGCACAAAAGCAAATGCATGGATAATTATAACTTTCTGTCAAGTTCACAGGTTTCAAATAGATTACACTACTCAACACTTAAAAAATATCTGACCCAATTCATATTATTTCATAATAAGCTTGACCAATATAAAAATATTGTATGCATTTTATTTCGATATCACATCTGGTTATAGGGATAAATATTTTTTTATTTTTTTACCTACCTACAAAAGTTAAAATGCGGGTAGTCCGGAAACTTATTACTTTTGCAAATGGAACATAGTGCAATTGTTAGTATATTAACTGACTTCTAAAATGCAGCGAGTGTGTGTTAACAGTCCTGATTTATTTTGCTATATTTGTGGCGAGTTTACGCCGAAATCGTAAGTTTCCTAAGCTTAGTGACGCGAAAATTAAAGAGGGTGTTTTCGTAGGTCCAGACATAAAAAAGCTGATTCAAGATCCATCTTTTATATCTGCTCTCAATAATATTGAAAAACAAACATGGAAGGCTTTTGGCGATGTCACTAACAATTTCCTTGGTAACAATAAATCTGAAGATCTTAGCGAAAAAATAAAAGTTTTATTGGACTACTACTATAAAATGGGATGCAATATGTCACTTAAGTTGCATTTTCTCCACTCGCATTTGGACTTTTTCCCTGAAAATATGGGATGCGTCAGTGACGAACATGGCGAACGCTTTCACCAAGATGTTGCTGCATTTGAAAAGCGATTTCAAGGCAGATAGGAGCCTGCTATGCTCGCGGATTACTGTTGGAGCCTTATTAGAGACCCCTGCTACTGAGTACAAGAGAAAAGCCAGCTACTCCAAAAAAACTACGCCATTTCAATTAAAATTACAATAAAATTATGGAAAATTCGTGATTTCGGACATGGATGTTTATCTGGACTTTGAGATGTGATGGTGTGTGTATATTTGCATATTTTTATAACTTTAGTGGCAAGAAATAGTAATCACATAATGCGACCTCAGATAAAATCAAAAGTTGAAAATTTGTTGAGTAGTGTTATACAATTCGCAACGCACGTCATGTAAGTACTAAAAAAAATTCAAAGTCGTTAACCCACTTGCTCAAAAAACTGAACAGTCCACCCTCAAATGGAGGGCCCTTATAAATTGGCACGTCCACAAAGGCAGACGTGCGGTGGTATCATGTAGAGGCTATTAGCCATGTTGCAGTTATCCGGCCACCAGCTAGGTACGGCACGCTGCTAGGGTGTCACTTGATAAAATCTGCTGCATTGTTTGAATTTTTACTGAATCGAGGGAGGGTGTTATATGGCAGTCTACTTAACGCTCTTGGAGTTATTATTTCTGCAGAGCATTATTTGTTAGTAAATGCTATCAATTCACTTAGTAAGTGCCAACTCATTTGTTAAAAAGCGCAGAATGTCTGAAAAAACTCTCCACTGTAATTGATTCAACAACTTTAGTTCACGCTACAGAACTACTAAACTAAACTACACGCCATCCGCAAATTACAGGACCTTAAACAATTTGTCTAAAAGCAAAATAACCAATAACATTCACCATTATAACTGTAGCAATAAAACAAGGACAAATATGTTGACTTTATCAAGAGTACTTAAGAAAACGAGCTCAAACAACTTGATTAGGTGTTCGGGAAAGCCACCACGGCACCACGGAGCCAGTTCCTTGTAGCCCCACGGTAGTCATCGATCATCCACCACAATGGGTAGTTCTGCGAACGGCTAAATTTGCAGCCCCGGCTGATTTATGGCACGCCGAGATAACGGATCCAGATACCATCGGACTATTATTACTGAGAAAAAAGGCAATAATGCCAATTAATTTTATGGAATTTACGTGAAGGTATTTCGAAACTGTGGTAGGTTTGTCGTGTATCAGATTTCTGAAATTTCCCCGCGGTTAAGGAGGACAAAAGGATTGAAGAAAGTTTTGATTCCATCGTTTTAAAAAGAAGAGGTCATAAAAAGACACATTTAAAGTAGAATTTATATTCTTTTTGATATTAATGTAGGTTTTGAGAAATACACCAATCACCTGGGAGTACTAAAATAATGGCAGTATCTAACAAGTGAATGTTCTGTTAACTCAGTAAATATAGGTTGAAACCTAATTAGGTACTCAAAAAGGTTATTCCATTGGGCATCGATTTTAAATCGTAAAAGTTAGAGATATTATTGTGTTACCATGGCAACAGGTTGTTAGTCCCCATGAAAACGTGACGGTAACTTCATCCTTTATTTGTCATAGTTTTAGATTGGCTTATCTATAGCGGAAATTAACACCCGAGCTGTGATTTTAGCATGTGACCCCATATTATATTTCCCACGACGTTTCATCCATACATTTAACTTTTATAAATATTGTTCTTTTAGTAAAAGGTAAACAAATGAATTATTTTAGGAACGGCGGCTGAAGAATTTGGCCAAATTCAAACATCGCAGTTGGCATCAATCACATGTTTCTAAAAATGTATGAGAAATATGTGGTTTTAAAGTATACCTATATACATATTATTTATTATACGAAAAATGATTTGTAGTGAGACAGAGTCACAAAAATAATAAAGAAAGATAAATAATGGAACAATAACAAGAACCCATCATTTGTTAAACGGGTGATTAGAGCTACAGAAAAACCGAAACCTTTATTAGTTTTGCTCACAGGAAATTCCCAAAAACCCGTGAATTTCTAAGATTTCCTACAAAAAGCATGCTCTTCGTCAAACCGAGGCAATGTATTATTGTGCTCTGACCGTCTGTCAATGAAAGTTTTTTTTTTATTACAAAGACGGTTGGTGACAACGAAAACATTGGGTACAGTCTCGGATGGACGATCTAATGGCAGGTTTTTTTTAACAAATATCATACAATTTTATGCGTCAAATTATAGAGTACTCTGCTGTGGGTCCACCATTTAAGTATCATTTTGTTTTTATAAGGAAAAGGGTTATGACGACACATGCTATGCTAGGCCAAGTCCTACGGTTTGCTGCTAATGCAAACATTGCTTACTTTTGATATTTACTTGTTTTAATATTAAAGATTTAGATATTTAAGTGTGGGAGAGCCATGCTTAGGCGCGAATGAGCCGGCTCGACCGGAGTGATACCACGGCCTCACAGAAGACCGACGTAAAACAACGCTTGTGTTGTGTTTCGTCGTGTGAGTGAGGTTACCGGAGACCCAATTACCCCTTCCCTTTCCCCAATCCTTTCCTGAATCTCGAACAATTCTCAAATTCCTAATTCCAAAAGGCCTGTAACGCACTTGTAACGCCTCTGGTGTTCCAGGTGTCCATGGGCGACGCCAATTGCTTACCATTAGGTCTGCTCGTTTACAGGCCTATCCCATATAAAAAAATTACTTTGCGAAACAATCTTCCTCTTTGGCTAAAGTCAGAGTATTGATTAGAGAAGCCGTTCATTTAACAAATAGAATACCAGCGCGAGACCCTGTCTTGCACATGCTGAACTGGTCCCATTTCACCGCAGACTTGGGACATTAGTAGATGTATATAAACTTATGTGTAAAATCTGTACGTGTCACCTGTTTTAGCGTGTGAAATAAAGTTTTTCTTTCTTTCTTTCTTTCTTTCAAATATGTACAAAAAAAAAACGTACGTAACGTTTCCATACCAACAAATTAAAACTTTCGACCAGCATTAGGTATAATGGCATTCGCTAATCAAATAACAATAATATGGCAAATGCTATAAGGGTTGATTTTTCAATGAAAAATGTATGCAATAATAGTTATTTTTAATCTTTCGATAAAGTTACCTGATTTTAGAAAAATCGGCCCTAAGTCATGTTCTATACAAGTACAATACAACAAAACCTCACAGAAGACCTAAAGGCTCCCAAACCCGACCAAACTTCCACATAGCAACAGATTGCCAAAAAAATATCAGTACAACAGTAAAATATGTTAAAAACTCACGTTATCATGAAGCTTATCGTTCACTGAACTCGAATCTGAAACAACCGAATGGAATATTACTGATCGATTACGGATAGTTACTGTTTGCTTATCAACTTGGCAACTGAAACTACTGGACTGTAGACAGACAATAGATTAAGAGGTTCATGTACTTAGACAATGAGTCTAATTCCGTTTGTATATGATTTGCACAATGAATTATGTTGAACAATACAATTGTGTGATATGAGGTTGTTTAGACTCAAAAATTTGTCGGATCAAAAGTGAGCCTAAATATCTCTAGGCAGGTCTTAAATTAGAGATCTCAAAATGTCATTATCAATCATCAACAGCCCTTGATAAAACGCTGCTGGATTAAGGGTTTCTTCTGCAGAGGCCAAGCCTCTATCTCAACGCTTGTCAGGTGTGTTGGAGAGCACAGTTCACCTGTGTGGGGTTGAAGTTCATCAGAGACCGCTCAGTTTTCCGCATTGATCCCTAATTCTGTTACTTGTGACCACTTACTATATGACCACTTGCTATCCATCTGTCAAAGTCAAAGTCAAAGCATTTATTTCAATTAAACCATAATTTGGTACATTTGAAACGTCAAAAAATACAAAATAAATAATAGTCTGGCAGTCTGTCCATCATTAAAGCTAGGTGCTCATTCCAAAATATAGATTCGAATGGAGAAGAACGAGCAAGAAACTTCTTTCGTTACTCTTGTCTTTATCATCAAATACATCAAAATTAAACCCAAAATAACGATGGAAGTAAAATTCATTGATAATGTGATACAATGTACCCTAATTTAATATTCAAAACGCGTAATTAAAAACCTTGGAATTCTTTCGAGGACCGATGCCACGGGAACATTCCCAGTCGAAGAATTTATTCCAAAAATTACTCATACCTATTCATAAGTGACAATTATTTATTATACGCCGTTTAAATAATACTTGTCTAGTAAATTTTAATTATTCATTATATTAATTATAGAAAGCTGTAAACATGGAACAAAAAGTACATTTGCTTATTTTTCTTATTTACTGACAAGCCGCGTGTAAGAAAGGTAAATATTTACTTTTAAGATAAAACGGAGCATTGCGAATTATTATGCAAGAAATTTAACAAAATTATAATCGTCCATTGAAATGTACGGTAACCGACCGATAGATACGTTATCTCGAAATAATCCGTTCACACAGTACCATGCCGACATGATGGATGGATGGAGTTTCCACGTATTTGAACACCAGAGACGTCGGACCCGCGTCACTAAAGCGGAACATAAACATTTGTATGTGGACTAATAGGTCAACTTACACCAGTAAGCTAATGACGAAATCAAAGCTCAAGTGATGGGTAAACATCAAGTGTACGGCAACACCTACTACACTTTGTGACGAGGCATTACTTATCTGAATCAGAACTTATGTTAAAGGCGACGTACTACCTCCAAAACAAAAGAAAAACGAAATAACTATGAACAAAAGCATTAAAAATGTAATACATATCAAGAGAGAGTAACGAACTTTGTATTATTTCCGTGTGTGCATAGTACACAGACAGAAACACGTCATAATGTATGTGTGTGCACAGACTAGGTGTGTCTACAATCTACATACGTCACACAACTATAACATTTATAATCTGTTGACTCAGGTACTAAATGTGAGCACGTCGCATCATGCATGTTGATGCATCCTGTTTATTACTATTTATAATTATCTATTCATGTTTATCGGTAAGATACACCATTATTAATTTTATTGACCTTGTTGAATTGTTTTGATATCAAAAGATGCTCTTCTGTAACTAATCCTAACGAGTATCAGAAGTAACATAACATCACGACTTTTTAGCCCCGAAGAGGTATAGGTAGGTGCGCATTACGGCACTTAATTCCACTGTTTTTGTAACACCACCCACTTTTTACTATTTATGATATGAGCCCCATGTAAGATGAATTTTTTTTTAAACTGTCAAACACCAAGCCGTCGCCGGTGACCGCAACCTGTTGTTATATAATTGTGTCTATAATGACGGTACTACACGAGTTAAATCCCAGTATGTAATACTTTGCCGACCCGGGAATCGAACCCGAGACCCCTTGCCCGGCAGCCGTACTTGCGACCACTCCACCAACGAGGCTATCAGAAGTACGTATTTTAAAAACAAGAACCGAATAATAGCTGCCGTCTTTACAGAGAATATTCAAATCAATGAAAAAATTCTTCTTCAAATGTGGAATTAATTCAAGTCTAACAAACCGCATCTTTTCCTAACTACACAAAATACCAACATTTAACACCGGTTACACTCTAAAACAACAATATTAAAACAGCCCTATCAATGTTAGCGATTCAGTAAACAGCACAGGTAATGCATCGCGATATAATTTCAGTAATGGCCGGTTGGGGCGCATAAAGAACAATTTTGCAACGGCCAACCACCCACAAGCTGCATTGCAGAATGCGGCTAGATTTTTACCCGAATGCGGGTTTTAGTGCAACGTGTCTTGTGCACTTCAAGTTAAGTGTTAGCCGCTAGATTTTCGGCTTGATAATGTTCTGACATATAATTTTATGTGTTTTCCAGTAAATTAGGTTTGTTTGCTGAACGGTTTATGGGTTTTTATTACTTGTTTATTTCAGTGCGGTTGTACGATTATGGTCTATAATTGGTTTTTTTAGGCTTTACTAAGGTAAATACTGACATTCGTAGCGTGGTAAGTCAAACTGAAACAAAATAAAAAAATATCAACGAGCCTAATCTAACCCCTACAACTGAACTTTGTTAATTAAAAACAACAGACGAACATTCGAACAGGTCGAAATTCAAAGTTAGTCGCATGCAAAGTGTAATAACAGACAATTGAGAAACACCTAAAACGTAAAGCAGTATGGAGTCACGAACGTAGACTAGATAGACTGTTTTATTTATATCGTGAAAAGTTGAAAAAATCTAATTTTCTACGCAGAGGGCACCCCAGTAGAGTGCAGTGAACTTACTTTCTCAGAAAACTAGACAAAAACAGTTTGGCAAAGCTTGCGTGGCTGAAATTAGCGTGAGAGAATTACGCCTAAAGTGGATTCGGATGGTGCCTTGGCTAGACCTGAATGTAAAGAAAACATTTCAAACTTATTTTCGTATGATAATATAAACCGTAACACGTTTATTTATACCGTTGAAAATATACATAAAAATACAATGGAGCCATTTCGGGATGATGAAATAGAAATTTTTGGAAAATTTACATCAAAATTTCAGCGAGTTGAATAAACATAGTTGTGTTTATTAAGTCTATAAATTTACTTTAAGGTATTCATAAGCAGAAATAGAATTTAGTATTAAATTGTTTGATCGATAATTTTTTTTTATTAATCCGACAGAAATAGATTTATTTCAAATAGAAATAGTACCGCGAACGTGCACCAGGAAATATCTGTAACCTAGAGTTCTAAAACAAAACATGATAAATTACGGTATAAATATGAATGTAGCAATACATTACAATGTTTAGGTGCCCCATGACAATAAACTATGGAGAAGATAAGGCGGCATTAATGAAGGTTAACTTTATGGCGGTCGAAGTGCAGTTATCCTAGCAAGTGGTTACAAAATAGCAAAATGTCTGACATTGTAGCCGACTGCCGACTAAAACATTCAGGTGTAGGGCCCCGGCCTTACCCGGCGCTATCCGTAATAATCCCAGCATAATCGTGGCAAAAATCTCCATCAACATAACAAAGTGCGTCCGTTTCAACTTGAATGTTATTAACATTTTAAATGGGAATCGTTTTGTGGTGTCGAAATATTCACGCATTGACGCACGGAGCCAACATATGTTTTGCACACCAATTTCCTTTTCAGATATCTGTGGTCTTTGGCGTAGCAACATGATAGCGAATCACTTATCCTACATTCTTATACGTTATATTGCCGACTTCAACCAGTCATCACGGACAGAACAAATCATTTTGCATTGTCATTCTGTCCGACCAGTTTCTGATTTACATATTTCGCCAGAAAATGAGATAGCAGTTTGAAGATTAGGCTATTAACACTTTATATTGCGTCGTATGTTGTGATTAATTGTCAATATGGGCATAACAATGGTCACACTGACTTTGCATATCAACATCTAATAAACTTAATGACGTTCAAGGTTCAATAGAGACGGAGTTGTCGCCTCACACCGCGACAATTGAATGATCATTGATATTGCTCTCAGAGAGTAAATGATTACATTTCTATTGACAGTTTTATGTGTCTTGATACACAGTGTACAAACAGCCTAAAGGTCAATCGTATGCAGTAGGCCGAGACTTGTGGGAACATGACTATGGAACAAGCCATCGAATACATAATAATTACATGTCAGATGAACATGTCACACGGAATCATGTCAATGTCAAGTTCATGTTGCGTACGACGTTCGTTTTCACAAACATTTAAATATTGTTTTGAATGGACCAGCTTCTGATATTGTCTTTGTAGTGGCAATTTAGAAATGACGTCAAACACCGGTCGGGCACAAATCACAATCCTCCCACTGATATTACTCACTGCCATACAAGGAGGTTCTGTGCAAATTCCTGAATATTTATTTCCATGTTTGGTGCTATATTTTGAACTTTGCACAATGTAATGAGCAACAAGGTTTCAGCGAAATGGATGGTTTGTTTTTCTTTTTGTTTTGTCAGCGACAACGTGCAAACAAGTTTTTCTGCGTGTGGATAACAGCATACGTTTTAATTGAATGCCTGTTTCATATAACAAACCGCACTCCATTTAGCAATTCGAGTATTTAGTTTATTTACCTCCCTCAGCCCAAAGGCAAATAGAAGTGACATTGTCTGTTGCCCTTGGCATCGACCCGACAACTTCAGACAAACCTGTTCATTTAGCAGATTTAAGAGATCAGAGGGCTCATACAACACGGTCGGTTTATCCTAAAGAGATTCAATGTAAATCTCTTTACTTTATCGTGATTACTCTTCCGCCGAAAGGAAGGTGAACATAAATTTGGCCCCTCACTTTAGAATGC